GATTTACGATTTTGTATTCTCAAATTACGGTTACATAAACGCGATTATTATTTCCTATTCGTAAATTACGATAATTTTTCTCGTAATTTATATTTACACTGAAAAAAATTGGTCTGAATTTTCCGGAAAAAGATCTTGCGTTCGATTTAAGGAGAAAAAGTCAATAGAATTTCAAGTTTCTCTGAATATGAAAGTAAAGTCCCAATTTTTTAGCGGCAAGAAGACGGAAATTCCACAATTTACGTAAATGTTCAAATGAAAATAGATATTCGGCCGATAGCGTTGGTTTGCGAGTCGTGTGAGTTTGCAGCACTCCTCACAAACCTTCGCTTATCGGCCTTATGACATAAGATACTATTAACAGTGCAGTTCCAACGGATTTTTCCATGCAATTATGAATTTTTAATGAAAAAACTCCTTGAAATTTCAGTGGACATGTTACTTGTTGAAAATTTCCAATTTCAGTGAAAAATTTTTAACCGTGTACTTATCGACAGTTAACGACGAAGAAAAAAAGTTCTTTCAAGCGTAAAGTACAATGTTTTTTCCATAAATTACGCATAAGTAAATCGCAATAAAATCACCAGACATCATATTGACGTTAAGCATGTATTACGTTTAGCAAACTGTAAATTGCCCTCAGCAAAACGCAATTTACGTTAAAGTTTTTCAGTGTGTGAACTGAACGGACGTCAATGATAAAGGCTGGAAACTCACATCCGGGGGGAGAGGTCGCAAGACTCATGAAATGAAAACTTGAAAATATCAAAGTGAGTTAACCAACTCTCGAACAACTCGCGAACCAATTTATATCCATGAAATCGAACAACCAGATGTGAGAAAATTCACATTCAAACCTTCCTTCAACTTTCCAATCTCATCTTAAACCGAAAATCATCTTGTGCGATTGAAAAGGTGAAAAATGAATATCTGATAAAAAAAAATCATGAAGATGAGAAAAGGCATTCTAAGGAGGTGGGGTTTGATGGTGTGTGCCAGAGGTGCCCCCATTGTGGAGGAACGGAGAAATCGCAAAAGGTGGGAATAGAAAGGGGCGCGAGTGAGGGGGCGGAGGGCGCAAGAGGGAAATAATGGGAATTGTATGGCGCTGAATTTCTATTCAGACAGCTCTCTGCTGTATTCTGGCTTGAGTTCAGGCTCGTCCTCTTCTTCGTTTGGACGAGAGTGTCGTCGAGGTTCTGGAGGCTTGCCGTCGCTTATTGGATTGCTCCGGGTACACTGGGCATTTTGCCCCTAGCCAAAGACCTCTATTACATACTTTTCACACACATATTCTGATCTTATGTACATAAAGGTCAAAATTGGATTTCTCACTCTTGCGACAAACGCTTTTCCTTTCTTTCTTTTGTCTCTTCAAATTGCAGAATCTATTTTTCACCCTTTACACGAGTATGAACACATGCAAATTAAAGGTGATGGGTAAAATGCAAGGAGGTTTATGAGGCTGATAGCTGGAGGAATTAGAGCTTTCGAATTGCGAATTGCGTCGTTGTGTCCAAGATTTAAAGGATCATTGTGGCCTGGGCAAGTTCTTAATTATCCATTACATTTTACTACGACAAAAGCGAATATTCCGAGTTAGGGATCTCTGGAGAATTCAATCGTAACTACAGGGAGACTCCAAGCGCATGCAAGCGAAGTAAATTTTGAATTTCTCTCATGTAATTGAATGTTGTTGGAAAAAAATTGAAATTACAGGACAGTTTAGTAGTAATTTTCAGGAAAGTGACATTGATTTCAATTAAGGGAGAAAACAAGTGGGAAATTGTTTTCGTCACAACATCGTCAATATATTTTTGCTAATAAATTAGCAATTTGCTTTCGAGTGGAATTCTTATAACGATGGATTTTAAAATGAATTCAATGATCAGTTGAATTCAACATTGCCTCAACGTTGAAATTTTTTTACCTTTTTCTGAATATTGGTCTCATCTTGCAACAAACTCTTTCCTTTTCTTCCTTTTGGCTCTCCAAATTGTAGAATTAATGTAAATTAAAGGTGATAGGTAGAATGCAAAGAGCTTTATGAGGCTGATAGCTAGAAGAATTAGAGCACTCGAATTGCGAATTGCGTCGTTGTGTTTCCATTTGAAGGATCATTATGCCTTGGGCAAGTTCTTAATTATCCATTACAATTTACTACGACAGAAGCGAATATTCCGAGTTAGGAATCTCTGGAGAATTCAATCGTAACTACAGGGAGACTCCAAGCGCATGCAAGCGAAGTAAATTTTGAATTTCTCTCATGTAATTGAATGTTGTTGGAAAAAAATTGAAATTACAGGACAGTTTAGTAGTAATTTTCAGGAAAGTGACATTGATTTCAATTAAGGGAGAAAACAAGTGGGAAATTGTTTTCGTCACAACATCGTCAATATATTTTTGCTAATAAATTAGCAATTTGCTTTCGAGTGGAATTCTTATAACGATGGATTTTAAAATGAATTCAATGATCAATTGAATTCAAAATTGCCTCAACGTTAAAAATTCTTTACCTTTCTCTGAATATTGGTCTCATCTTGCAACAAACTCTTTCCTTTTCTTTCTTTTGGCTCTCCAAATTGTAGAATTAATGTAAATTAAAGGTGATAGGTAGAATGCAAAGAGCTTTATGAGGCTGATAGCTAGAAGAATTAGAGCACTCGAATTGCGAATTGCGTCGTTGTGTTTCCATTTGAAGGATCATTATGCCTTGGGCAAGTTCTTAATTATCCATTACAATTTACTACGACAGAAGCGAATATTCCGAGTTAGGAATCTCTGGAGAATTCAATCGTAACTACAGGGAGACTCCAAGCGCATGCAAGCGAAGTAAATTTTGAATTTCTCTCATGTAATTGAATGTTGTTGGAAAAAAATTGAAATTACAGGACAGTTTAGTAGTAATTTTCAGGAAAGTGATATTGATTTCAATTAAGGGAGAAAACAAGTGGGAAATTGTTTTCGTCACAACATCGTCAATATATTTTTGCTAATAAATTAGCAATTTGCTTTCGAGTGGAATTCTTATAACGATGGATTTTAAAATGACTTCAATGATCAATTGAATTCTAAATTGCCTCAACGTTAAAAATTTTTTACCTTTCTCTGAATATTGGTCTCATATTGCAACAAACTCTTTTCTCTACTCTCTTTAGTCTCTCCAAATTACAGAATCTATTTTTCTCCCTTTACATGGGGATGAACATATGCAAATTAAAGGTCATGGGTAGAAGCAAACAGGTTTATGAGGCTGATAGCTGGAAGAATTAGAGCACTCGATGGTAAGTGGTGGTGGGTCGTGGTGTTGAAGCCACTCGACAATTCAACCACTCCCGGGGACAATTGAGTCTTTCCACTTACGTATCTCTGAATTCATTCGTTCTTGTGTTAATTCAACACCGTCCGTTCATATATTCATTTCCAATCAGCATCACTATATTGAATTTAATCTGGTGCATTGAAAATTGGAATATGAAATTTCAATGGCGACGAATGAATGAGAGATAATATTTCATTTTCACTCGGAATTCAGTTGTTGAGTAGACAAAGTACATATTTGTATTATTTTCAGTACATTTGATACTGCTTCAACACGATCATCCATATTGCCTGTCCTCATTGTGCACCAGCCTGTGCATGTAGTGATACTATTCTTCTTGTGACTACACTGGGGGATGGATTTTCCCTTACTCCATCTCTCGAGCCATTCAAACTTCGAGAGGACTTGATATTTCATGCGGAATATTCCTACAGTAGTCAAACTTTTCTCGAATTTATTAGTTTTATTTTCTCATTCAGCTAGGAATGTTTTTGTTTCTTAAATCTATCGTTATTGTACGGAGGCAGAAGTTGGAGAAAACCGAACATTTCAATTACCGAAAATGTCAAGTAATCGTGGGGCGAAGTCGTTTTCAGTATGGAAAAACTGATTCTTTTAAATAGTCTTAGAACGTAATATCCGCTTGAGGTAGATGACGGAGGAGAATTGTTCTCTCGCAGAAAGCCAATCGCTGATGAAGAAAAACGATATTTGAATGACAAATTTTTAATCTATTTCGACCATTTTTGCGTTCGAAATATTTTTTTAATAACTTTTAGATTTTTTCCCACATTTTTCAAGCCTTTCTTTATTTTTCTAGCTTGACTTTTGGATAATTGGAAAAAGTGACAACGTCGTGCCGTTCGAGGTATAAGTTGGCAGTACTGATTCACTCAGCTGTTATGTTCCTTCCCATAGCGAAATGTATCATCCATTCGTATTTGCCACACTTACCCCTCTACGATTTCTAACCTCGCCGTTGTCGCTATTCCAAGTTGCGCACGCAGAATACCGATTTTTCATGAGTTTTTCAATTATCCCGTCTAAAATAGTTTTTTGAAAATGATCAGAAAAGGATTTTTTTGTGCCAAACATGCGGAGCGTGCGCCGGAATGAAAATTTTTTGTCGCAAAAATAGATTTAGTAGTTTAAAAAAATTGTATTCTCTGTAGACGCAAGAAATATCATTTCTAGCACTACTACTTCGTTATTCGATACTCTCTACGTATTTTGTTCCCGAAAAATCTTTGTTTTATGCGAAACAAGGGATAGTAGTTTTTCGTTTCGGCTGTCTAATAATCACAGACAAGAAATGAACCCTTAAATGAAACAATAATAATTATATGAAAACTCCACCCAAGTGCGAAATTTCAGGAAAACGGCGACTTTTTTTCTATTTTAAATATTTTTTTTCCGAATTCCCATAAGAGCCCGTGTCAAAATGCATTTTTTAAAAAAATTCCTGTGTTTCACCCATTCTCCTAGACGATTTGGGATTTTGCATAGGGATTTTGAAAAAATCAAAGAATGTGTAAAAAAAATCCTCATAATCTGGATTTTTTTCGATCCCCTCTGACCACGCCATAAATACCTCAAGAATATCCAAGTACTTTGGATTTTTATCCGCCTTTTCTCTACTAATTAAGTGGTTAGTATAAATATCTTGTTATGATTATAGGGAAATCTGGCCGGAGAACGACTTTTTTGGTGCCCCGGAGATGCCTGTTGAAGAGGAGTTCTTGGCGCTTCGGGAGATATTCCACGCTGATCTCGGTGGTAAGTACTAATTTTTTTTTTTCACATTTATTCACTATCTCGGTTTTCACGATGGGAATTTCGATTTATTCTCATTCTCGAGCATAAACAGTTGCCCTCGCCAATGGCTCCATTGAAGAGGAGAATTGAGTTGGCTATTAAAAAAGTTGAAAAGCTATTGAAACGTCTGGAGAGGAAGTAACGATCTATTGACTATCTTTTGCATCGTAGTCGTCAAAGCTCTCCCCAAGGATCGGGGGAAGGGGGGGGGGAAGGTGGAGTGAAAGTTTTGTTTGTACTTGCTCAGACTGGATCGTTAGTACCTCTTAGCATCGGTTAACTACCAACTCTCCGCGTCATTCTCGAGATTTCCACCGATGAGTGGGAGAGAAGGACTCAAGTTTAATAGGAAATTTTTTATGTCCTTCGTAAAATGAATACCCGCCGCCCTCCAGTGATGGGTGAACAAAAGGGACTTTCAGAGGGAGGAGTGGTGGTGAGTTAAAAATATTATTAGGGGCACAGCTGTTGAAATTTGGAATTGCGAATTGCGTCGTTATGTGTCCACGATTTAAAGGACCATTGTGGCTTGGGTAAATTCTTAATTGTCCATAACACTTTACTACGGCAGAAGCGAATATTCGGAGTTAGGAATCTCTGGAGAATTCAGTCGTAACTATTATACAGGGAGACCCAAGCGGATGCAGGCGAAGTGTATTTTGAATTTCTCTTGTAGAATTGAAGGCTGTTGGTAAAACATTGAAATTCCAGCGATAGTTTGGTAGTAATTTTCAGGAGACAAATTGCCTTCGTCACCACATAGTCAATATATTTTTGCTAATGAATTAGCAATTTACTTGCGAATGGAATTTCTGTGGCGATGTATTTTTAATTGAATTCGATAATTCGTTGAGTTCAGTATTGCAGCTAACAGTGCCCTAATGTTGGTAGACAACATTGTCGCAATGTTGATAGGTAATGTTGCCCCAACAATATGCATCAGAATAAATTGCTCTGATTCACATGCTGAATTTGACGTCCAATTCATTCGAAAGTCGGTTACCAACTAGTTATTCAATTATTTCATTCATCGCAATTTGCGAATTTTCGTCAGCTCCATGGATTGAGTATATTCTGATGCCATGGCAGAAGTTTTATGCAACTTTTCTCCTCATGTGATGACATAATATACTATTTTAAACAAACAAAACAAGCAAAAATAAGGAAATTGCAAATTAGACTGGAAATTCGATAGAATTTCAAAGTTTTCAGCACCAGAAAGAACAGAATTCGCTAACTCTCTTGAATTACCAATCAAAACATGAATTTTCAATCCCAAATTAGTCTGGAGACTACATTTATCTAAATTATTCCGATTTCTAGTAATTTTTATGGAATAATTGCATGGAAATTTACAGTTTCCCTTGATTTTTTTCATCAAATGGAAAATTTTCAATTGCAAAATTCCAGGAAATTCCACTTTGGTTATCACTTGATGAAAATTTAAAAAAAATACTGGAAATTTCAGTAAATAATTTTTAACCGTATATTTTATTGCAACAAGAAGGCATTGTTCTCTCAAAAATATGAACTGGCCTAGAATTGTGTTCATCTCAAGGTGCGTCAAAATAAATTGCTGCTTCACATGCTGAATTTGACGTGCGATTTATTTGAAAGTCCGTTAGCAACTAGTTGTTGCTAGTTGTTCAATTTTTTCATTCATCGGAATTTTCAAATTTTCGTCAGCTCCATGGATTGAGTATGTTCTGATGCCATGACAGAAGTAAATTGCATTTCGTTTCCATGCGTCAATCAAAACTTCTGAATTGCAGAATGAAATGGCACGTTGCGCATTTGCCCTCGACTATTCCACTCATTTTTTTTATACAAAAAAATCTACTTCACATGCAAACAAATTTTCAACTAATCTCACACTTCACCTCCAATTTTTCAACTTAATTATCAGAAATTAAATCTGTAAGTATCACCGTGTTAATCCTTTTATCACTACATTTTTTTCGCAACATAAAAAGAGATTTAAGATAATGTCTGGGGCACAAGGCGAGACTAAAGAGTTCACCCTGTATTATTTTTTTTTTCAAAGATATGATTTCGGTACCTCGCAGAGGGACGGGGGGTAGTAATGTAATAACGGAGGCATATATCATGACACAAAATTTAATTAAACGCGGCCAAGCTTTCTCCTCCCTTCTGGTATTCACTCGGTGCTTATAATTTATGTATGAATAACTGCCCTGTTTATCGTTCCTGTTTCGTATCAACTCTGCCAACTGCACTTTAACCCTCCTTGTACCAACAATGTTCCATTTTGTTTCTACTTTATTGTTGTTCTTAATGAAACTTTCTTGAGATATTTTGAAAATAAAAATAACTCAACGTCCATTCAAATTCGCCTAATAATTCTACAAATTTAATACACGGAGAGAATATAAAATTAAGAATTCACACAGAACATCACTGAGAACCATTCGGGTAACATTTTTAAATTTCGTGGAATCCATTTTTTACGATTTAACATAGTAATTTTTAATGGACAAAACAGTATAAAATGTACGGATGAGAAAATAATTTTCGAAAGCATTTAAAACGCTTAATTTTTTTTTACCAATTTTTACTATTGAATTTATTGTAATTTTTTCTTACGATTTAAAACTTTAGTTTATACTCTCGCGACTCCGACATTTTACCCGAGGAAATAGCAGAAATTACTATGTTGACTACTAAAAATTCCAGCGGACGACCACAGCGTCGATTGTTTTAATTTTGGAATCTCCTCGCTCCGTCCACCACGCAATGGCCCAGGTGGCGGATTCTGTAATTCTAAAAAATTCAATCCTTCCTCTCCCCCTTGTATTCAGAATGAATATACGTGGAGCAAATTATAATTATAATGATAATAAGTTGCAAGGATGATAAAGAAGATTAAATATGGTTTCTCACTTCGGTTATTCAAAAAACCGTTTTCTCTCTCGCCCTCTTCCGCGAATATTCATTTTGAATGGCTGGGGGGGGGGGGGCGAATATTTTTTAACCGACGAAATAAAAATTCATGTTTATCCTCCTAAATTTTACTTGCGTTACTGAATCAATTGAATCAATTGAAAATTTTACTTTTATGCTACCATTTTCTATTATACCCACTCTCAATTTTTACTATGTTCAACAGTATAATTTTTCCAACGGTCTCCATCATATTTAATTTTATCACCCGTATTTTCCAGCACGTCGTAGTTTTTTATTTGTTCTCTAAATTCCTATATTAAACAGTTAATTTCTCAAATAAGTTCTCTAACAATTCTGGTTTAGGCCAACAATATCGTTAATCGAAAATTACCAAAAACCTAATTGTTCTGCTCGAATTCGAAAGTCTCAAACATGAATAATTGCTCTGCTTTCAACAATACGGTGGCTTTTCAGGATAAAAATATCTTTTTGTCATTCCGGTCGTAAGGCAGCGTTTCACGGACACTCCGCGTCCGTGAATCTCTGCCTACGGCCGTCATGACAATATTATATTTCGTCACTAGGCCGAAAAAAAACTTTTCTGGCGAATATGATTGCAGCCCTCGCCTTCGGCTCGTGAAGAAAAGTTTTTTTCGGCCTAATGACGAAATATACTATTCATAGAGGGAAGTTTATCAAGAAATATTTTGTCCCCCAGTTACAAGATTGCTGTCATATCATTATGATCATTTCATTTGAGAATTCTTTTTTTGTCTGTGATTATTGAATAGCCGAAACGATTGACGGCCGGGATTTGAACTCGGAACCTTTCGCATGTGAGGCAACGAACTTACCCACTGTGCCAAGCCACTGGGCAATTATAATGTATCTTTCAACGAAAAACAAAGAAGGTTAAAAAGATATTACCAACTCGGTGGATGACGATAAATCCCAAAAGGCGAGCACTTTCGAAACCCAACGATGACAGCTTTCCCGAGGAGCCGCAGGTGCGTGTAACGAAATATGGGGGAGAGGGGTTAGAGGGTATCTGGAATTCATTTTACGAATTCCAAACGAAACCGACGACTAGTCGATGTACAGGATAAAGACAGAAAATGGAAGAAAGAGAGATGGAGGATAGATATTATAGTAAAAGCATTAGTATGAGCTGTAGCGATCGCGGAGAGAGAGCGGAGGCAATTTAATTAAAGAGCGTTGGAACCATGTGCCACCCCTCCTCTCTCTCCCTCCCCCACCCCCGCCGCCCTCTATTTCTCCGTCAATGAGACTGACGCCGGGTAACATATAATGAAATATACGCATGTCATGTCGGAGCGAATTAGAAGAAAGAATTCAACTTGTTGCATTTTAAAACGTGACTATTTTTCCCCTCTCTCTCCCTCTCGCTAGTCAGTACTGACTGACGTATTGATTGACATTAATTGCGCGGTCCGTCGCGACGCCATCAGCCATGGTCCCCAGGCTTACTCAACCCACCTGTCTCTCCACTGATGCCACCTCTCCGGTTTCCCCGGTCCATCTGCATGGTGTGTCACGTATCTGCCACCACGTATTCAACGGCCAAATGATACAGGGGGATGGGCGGTGGCGTTGGTCACTATGATTTTGCGACAAGCTTGGGTGTAACCCTCTCGCCTGCGAGGTCTTAATTGAGCGGCAACATGAAGAATCCAAATGCGAGGATTGTTTGAATATATTAGGGGGCAGGGGAGGGTGTGCCTGTAGCGCCCAGCGGGTAATACCGCTCACCCGATTTTCTCGAAAATTTCTTTCTGCTCCTGATCATGAAGAATTTGATGATAGAATGTGATTGTCGGAAAAATTTCACTTTATTTACCACTTTAAATATGAAAAAACACGTAACGAAGTTTTCAGGTCTACAATGCAAAATTTGTGGACTTGTAATGAAGGTTTTTGATAGTTTCAAACCCTGAATTCTCATATTAAACTGTGGTTATTCGATTCGTGGTACTTTCACGCGTAATTTGAGACCAATTCGAACTCAAAAATCCACTCATGTCAATAATTATCAACAA